CATTTTACAATCCTGTCAACAATGTATAATAGTTCCTACCTCTCCACATCCTCTTCAGCATTTCTTTTTTGCTGTCTTGTTAAACTTGCCATTGTTACTGGAGTAAGATCTCATTGTGGTTTTGATTTGCATCTCTCTTATTGCCAGTGATTTTGAGCATTTCTTCATGTGTCTGTTTGCTATTCGGATATCTTTCTCTGTGAAAATTCTTTCCATGTCTTTTGCCCATTTTGTAATTGAGTTATCCTTGACTCACTATTGAGAGCTAAGGTAATCTCTACCATCTATAGTGAATTTTTTTTTAAATTAAGAACTTCTATTCTTTAGGGAAAGTTTCCCCATTTGTGCATTTATTTTAGCTGAAGAAGAATCTTTCAGTTCAGTGGTTGTAAAGTGTATTCCTCGGCAGCATCGTGAGCCTGGTCTAGAAACATGTTGATAGCCACATCAATGCCAAGACCTCCTCCTAAGAGCTCCAGTGTGGTCTAGTGGTAAAAAGCTGGGAATAGAGCACCTTTTTTTTTTGTAATTGTAAAATGCAGTCGTTTCACCATCTGGGTCAGAATTTTTGTGTAAAGGTCTAGATAAGAAATATTTTAATGAGAGCTACTACCGTAATAGAAACTGTATTGTCTTTTTTCTTAAAAGTGGAGAGAGAGAGAGAGAGTGAGTGTGTGTGTGTGTGTGTGTGTGTGTGTGTGTGTACGTACGTACGTACGTACGTACACTATCAAATGGGATCTGACTGGTACAGGAGGAGATTGCCTCTCCTCCAGCAAAGGATTTGGTGAATTCAAACCTTGAATCTCTGGGATTGCAGTGCAGCTTCTTGCCACTAGTACACTAGAGCTCCCTTTAAAGGCGAATTTTTGTTTATTTGTACATCTTTTTCCTAATGTATCTTCATTACCCAGGTGTATTTCTGACCTCATTTTCTTTCTTTAAACATGAAGAGTTAACACTGTTACTCTGAATGCCTCCTGTGTTTTGCTTTCTCTTTTCTGTCTCCACCATACAATTGTTGTGTTTTTAGATTTTTTTCCTTGTAGAGAATTCTCCCAATAGAAAGAGAGGTGAGATGACTGAGTTCCAGTTATGTTATAAGCATCCGTTATCCAGATGAATCTTCCTGTCCTTCACCTTTCTGTCTTTGAAAGTTCACTGTGGACACAGTCTTCTAATAAACTAATATCAAACTGAAACGATTGAATTGGTTAATGTTCTGCCTGTTTCCTCTTTAATGTTGTCTGGCCTTTAGTACCTTTCTTTAGTCTTTAATGCAATTTTTGTGCACATAAAAAATTTCCTGTTCTTTTCTGGTTTTCCCTTCCTTTCCAGGGTATCATTTGTCAGTCACTCTTTCATTTATTCTGCTATGCTTCTAATCATTTTCTAGATCCTGGTTCCTTCTCTGGAAGCTATTCCATTGTTTTCTCTCTCTCTCTCTCTCTCTCGCTCTTGCTCTCTTGGTCTGTGTGTGCGCGCGCGTGTCTTTTTTCTGTGAGAAGTTCAGGCCTTGAGTGCATATTTCCACCACGGTGCTGGTGCTCTTTTCACAGCTGCTTCTTGGTCTTCAGGTTCTCCTCATGCTTGTTGAGACCATGGCACATGTTTTCTTAGGCCAGGAATCCAGGAGTTCGTACTTCTTGCCCTCCTTGTATTTTCTGAGGAATTGGTTGATAACAGTGACAA